ACCGGAGAAAAACCAAAAAAAAAAAAAAAAAAAAAACTACATAACAAAACCTTGTCTCAAAAAAAATTGAGACAGGGTCTCACCAAGTTGCTAAATTATGTAGGCTGAGAGCTTGCAATCCTCCTGCCTCAGCCTCCCAGAACATGCTGAGATTACCGGCCTGGGCTGCCAAGCTCAGCTCTAGGAAACAGTAAGTGGCTGAGGCGAAAATACCTGTGTTGCTGGCCGTGCCTGAGACAGACTTTCCCCCGCCCTTCTGCAGATGCAGGTGTGGGACACAGCGGGCCAGGAGCGATTCCGCACCATCACCCAGAGCTACTACCGCAGCGCGCACGCCGCCATCATCGCCTACGACCTCACACGGAGGTCCACCTTTGAGTCGGTCCCACACTGGATTCACGAGATAGAGAAATACGGGGCGGCAAACCTGGTCATCATGCTGATTGGTAGGCGTGCTCCTGGCACCTAGCTCCTCCTCACCTATCTCTCTGGTGAACGCAACATGTGTCACCAGAGTTCTGTGGCAGTGGATTATGGTGGTGCAACCTGCATTCCTAGCACTCAGGAGACTGAGGCAGGAAGATCTCTGTGAATTCGAGCATAGCCTGAACTATATAGCAAGATCCTGTCTTAAAAAACAAAACAAAATGCAGATTTCTCACCTACTCCCCCAGTTTCCCATAGTGGGGGTACTGGGATGGGCAGGGACAGTTCTGCGGACACCCCAGCTCAGTGCAGGCACAAGTGCTACGCAGGCTGCACAGGAGGAAATGCTGGGCTCTCAAGTTAACAGCAGGTGTCCCCCGCATCCCCACAGCCACTCAGCTGAGTGTGGCTGCCCAGCGAATGAAGACTCACACCCTCTGTGACCCTGAGCACTCTTAACCACAGACCAATATCAAAACTGACAGAAGCAGCCAGGGGTGGTAGCACACACCTATAATCCCAGCATTTGAGAGGCTGAGGCAGGAGGATTGTCATAAGTTCAAGGCCAGACTGGGCTACATAGTGAGTTCAGGACCAGCCTGAACTACATAGTGAAACCTTGTCTGAGAAAAAGAAAAAGAAAACCTGACAGAAGCTTGTGGGGCCCATGCCTATAATTCCCGTTACAACCCCAGCTACTCTGGAGGTTGAGACAGGAAAATCGACAGTTCAAGACTAGCTTGGCGGGGCTGGGGATTTAGCTCAGCGCAGAGCGCCTGCCTGGCAAGCGTAAGGTCTTGAGTTTGATTCCTGGTACTGGAAGAAAAAAACAAAAACAAAAAAACAAACAAAAAAAGACCAGCTTGGGCAAATTAGCAAGACCCTGTCTCAAAAGAAAATAAAAATGATTAGAGATCTAGCTTGATGTTAGCATTAAGAACCTGGGTTCCATCCCCAGTATTGGAGAAAAGGAAAGAAAGAAAGAAAGAAAGAAAGAAAGAAAGAAAGAAAGAAAGGATTGATTTTAGCCAGGTCTGTTGGTACACACTTGTAATCCCAAATGCTTGGGAGGCTGAGGCAGGAAGATTTTTAGTTCAAGGCCAGCCTAGGCAAAGTAATGAGACTTTGTCTCAAAATAAAAAAGTTTTGAGGATATAGATCAGTAGAAGGCTTACCTAGCATGTATAAACCCACCAGTTCAAACCCCACTATCTCAAAAAATAAACTATAACCAACCTACCCCAATACTCTTCAAATAGGGGATGGTTAAACAAACACCTACACCATGGAATACTACACTGAATGAAAACCATCACTGATACACCGAAAATGAACTGCTGATACAACCTGGGTGTTCTCAAGGGAATTAGGCGGAGTGAAGAAAAACCATTCTCTGAAGGTACATGCTGAATGCTTTCACTGTGTAACTATTGTTTTTTACATAGGGTCTTGCTGCGTAGTTCAGGTTGTCCTTGAACTCACTCAAACTTGGAATCCTCCTGCCTCAGCCTCCTGGGTGCTGGGATTAAAGGCATGTGCCACCACACCCGGCCGTTGTTTTTCTTTTTATTGTTGGATATTGGACCCAGGGCATCACGCATGCATGCTGGGTACGATGGACAAAGCTCAGTGCCAAGTCTGTGTGTCGTGTGTAAATTATAGGCATCTAAAAAGCTTCCCCTCCTGCACCTCTAGCCCAGCAAATCCTGCTCACCTCAGCTGATGGCCCCATTGCACAGCATCTCAGAACCTGGAGTCTGGGGGAAAGGAGTGCAGAGGAGCACGATTTGATGAAAGAGGGCAGGCTGATGGGGTCACGCTGGCCTTTCTGTCCCAGCCAGTAACATACACACCCTGGGACTCCTCCCAGTTCTTAAAGATCTTACAGATTGGAAGCCAATCTCTAAGGGTCTTGCTTGCATCCCTGAACTACCCAGGCTGGGCTCAAACTTGCCATCCTCCTGCCTCAGCCTCCCAGAGTGCAGTACTGTGGGAGACATGTCCCACCACACCCGGCTTAAAATGCTTTTCTTGAGTTCACTTTGAACATCGTATGGGCTAGGTCACTTGGTGAGCTATGTCCTTGTCCTGGTCCCCAGGAAACAAGTCGGACCTGTGGCAGAAGCGGCACGTGCTGTTCGAGGATGCCTGCACGCTGGCCGAGAAGCACGGGCTCCTCGCCGTCCTGGAGACATCCGCCAAGGAGTCTAGGAACATCGACGAGGTCTTCGTGCTGATGGCCAAGGAGCTGATGGCGCGCAACAGCCTGCAGCTGGACAGCGCGGGTGCCACACACAGCCTCGCCCCCGAGTCCAGCCCGGTGCTCGTGGCCCAGGTCCCCAGCGAGAAGCCCCGCTGCACCTGCTGAGCAGGCAGCCAGGCTCACAGGGACCACGCCATTCTGGCCTCTGGGTGGCACTGCCGGCTGAGCGAAGCCTCACCCCTCCTCCCTAATCCAGCCTGGGAAGCAGCCCAGGAGGCTGCGTTCCCACCAGATGCTGAGGCAAAGCGACACCCCCGGTTCCCTCGATACCTCGAACGAGGAAGGCACAAGGGAAGAGGGGGGTTTGTCCTGCCCCGTTCCCTGCTTGTCTTCCCCCCACTCCAGCTGCTTCTTGTTTTGAGACAGGGTCTCACTGTAGTTCAGGCTGGCCTTGAGCTCACAGCAGCCCTCCCTCCACGGCCTCCCAAGTGCTGGGATTACAAGGAGTGCCACAAGGCCGCTCCAGTTGCTTTCAACTGGGTTTTGCTTCTCCACTTGAGGAAGAGGGCAGCAAACGGAAGGCGGAAGAGGACTCCGGAGAGGGGAGAGGATGTTCAGAACATTCTGGGACACTTTGAAACAGCACAGGCCAGGGGTGGGGAAAAGCCTTCCAGGAAGCCCCTAACGCTGTCAGCACTTTGGTCCCACCATTCACATGCAGGACGCCCCTTTGGGCATCCCTAAATCCCAGAGGCACCCAGTCTCACAGGAACCATGTGAGGGACAGGGAGTCCCTCCGTCCTAGGCGGGCTGAGTTAATCACTCTGCTTGGTAGGAGAGACGTCACAATTTCTTTTTTTGTTCTTTTTTGTCTTTTTGAGACAGGGTCTCGCTATGCAGTTCAGGCTGGCCTCGAGCTCACTTTGTAGCCCAGACTGGCCTTGAACTCACAACGATCCCCCTGCCTCAGCCTCCCCGAGTGCTGGGATTACAGCACAATTTCTTTCTAAACACGTCGAATTATCTTCTAGATCAGAAGTGAGTGGACGGAAGTTAAACTGGCTCACAGAAGGTTATCCAGCCAGGATTGTATTGTCTCTTCTGGAAGCGCCAGGAGGCGGCAGTTAAGCGTGTGGCCAGCAGGGGGGGCAAGTGAGCAGATGAGACGCCTCAATCACAGACACCAAGGCACCCAAGAGTTTCCAAGCCCTGCAGCTGGGACCAAGCAGAAAGCGCTAGCTTCAGTTCTTCTGCTGCTGGATCAACCAGGTTTTTGACAGGACAGCCTAGCTCTGACGTCATCCTGAGGAATGGGAGATACAAGAGACTGTGGCTATTAACCCTGCTACTGTGCTGTCTCTTTCAGCGCCTGCTCTCACCCTGCAGAGCACACTTCTTTTCCTACCTTTAATAAATGTAAAACCTTACTACCTTTTGTGCTTATGTTGTCCAATTCTTTGTTCAGAACAAGAATCTGAAAAGAATCTCTGGAAGAGCCCACAGCACTCCAGGCCCCAGGAAAAACCAGAGAGAGGCCGGGTGTGGTGGTAAACGCCTGTAATCCCAGCACTCTGGGAGGCTGAGGTAGGAAGAAACAAGTTCAAGAGCAGCTGGGGCACCACAGCAATTTAGCAAGACTCCCCTCCACCACTTTTTTTTTTTTTTTTTTTTTTGCAAGACTGGGGATTGAACCCAGGGCCTTGTACAGGGAAGGCAAGCACTGTGTCCCTAACCTATATCCCTACCCTTGAGACCCTATCACAGAATTTAAAAATATTAATTTTAAAAGGGATGGTAGGGGCTGGGGATTTAGCTCAGTGGAAAAAGTGTCTGCCTGGCAAGCGCAAGGTTGTGAGTTCGATTTCTAGTACCAGAAGAAAAAATAAAATAAATAAAATAAAATAAAATAAAATAAAAGGGCTGGTGATGTAGCTCAGTGCTAAGGCCTGGGTTCAATCTCCAGGACACCTCCACTTCCAGGAAAAAAAGTTTGTGTCCTTGCCAGGCATGCAGGTACATGCCTGTAATCCCAGCACTCGAGAGGCTGAGGCAGGATTGCCACGAGTTCGAAGGCAGCATAGGTTCTATAAAGTCCAAGGCCAGCCTGAACTACACAGCGAGACACTGTCTCAGAAAAGAAAAGTAGGGCTAGGGATATAGCTCAGTGGCATAAGCACCTGCTTGGCAAGTGCAAGGTCGTGAGTTCAATCCCCAGTACCACAAAAAAAAAAAAAAAAAAAAATTATATCATGAGGGGGCTGGGGATTTAGCTCAGCGGCAAAGCGCCTGCCTGGCAAGTGCAAGGTCGTGAGTTCGGTTCCCGGTACCAGAGAAAAACCAAAACAAACAAACAAACAAACAAACAGAAAAGAAAAGTACGTGAGCAGAGAGCAGCTGGCACCTCTAGGAGGTGCAGGAACGCGTTTTCAGACCAACAGAAGCAAAGGAGGCTGGATGGAAGAGCTCCAGTGCTCAAGGGCACTTGAAGGCCCCTGGCAGAGCCCAGGGAGCCAGACACACACCTGGTGGAGGCAGCGTCTGATGTTTGCAGCTTCCGCTCTGGAGCTGCTTCCAAGGGGCAGGGGCTGGAGGCCCGCTGGGCGGAAGCCCCTGCCTGCAGGAGAGGATGTGCTCCAGCCACAGCCCCTGCGGCCCGGCCGTCCGTTTCCGCCCAGGGGCTCACAGTCCCTCCTCTGCCCTTCTCCCCTGGTCACAGCTCAGGCCAGTATTTTTCTTTTTCTTTCTTTCTTTTGGAAAGAGGGTCTTCAAAACTGGAGAAGGACCCAACCAAGAAAGAACTACAGGCCAATCTCCCTCATGAACACAGGTGCAAAAATAAGAACCTGGCAAACAGAATGCAGCAAATCATCGAGATTATCCACCATGACCAAGTGGGATTCATCCCAGGGATGCAGGGATGGTTCAACATACGTAAACTAATAAACGTAATACACCATATTAATAGAGCCATGGAAAGAGGGTCTTGTTGGCTTCAAACTCACTATGTAGCCCAGGCTGCCTTCAAAGTTGAGGTGATCCTCCTGCCTCAGCTTCCCAGAGTGCTGGGATTACAGCCATGGGCCTCCACACCTGGCTTTTTTTTTTTCTTGAGACAAGGTCCTGCAGTGCCGTCTAGGCTGGCCTCAAACTCTCTCAGCTTCCAAGCAGCTGCATTTATAGGCCGGGCTGAGAGCTGCTACAAATAGCACAGTAGCCTGTCCCCTTGCTCTGGCTCCAGGCATCAGCCCTGATCCCGCTCTTTCAAAATGGCTCCAGTGGGCTGGCACCAGCGTTGGAACCATGCTGTTTGGACCTTTGGCCTCCAAAGCTAAGAGCAAAATAGACCTCTTCTTCTTTTTTCCTTTTTTTTTTTTCCTGGTACTGGGAATCGAACTCACGACCTCACGCTTGCCAGGCAGGCGCTGTGCCGCTGAGCTAAATCCCCAGCCCCTAGACCTCTTCTTCTTAAATTACCCTGATGGGTGGGTGCTCCATCCACGCCCAGGGGGAGCTCAGGCTTCCAGTTGCCCTGCAAAGCCTGGGACTCTAGTCCTCCTGCTTCCCTGAGGCCTGGGATCTCATCTGAGAATCTTTGTGGACCACAGCTGCAGGTCACCCTAGCACTGCAAATCCGAGGGCGCTTGGCCGCACATGCAGGGCTCCGCCGAAAGCACAGAAGGGCGAAGGCCGGTGTGTCCGGCAGCTGCTGTGCGTGGAGGGACAGGTCTGAGGGGTGGGCAGCTCTAGCAGCTGGAGGAGACCCTCTTCTGTTAGAACAGCGCCGAACTGGTGAGGGGTTCGGCTGTGTGCAGGAGTGGACGTACCCCTAGCGCTCTGCCAAGAGCGAGCTATGACGGATACCCGTAACACCACCGATCTAAGCAGGTCCTAAGCAGGCTGAAAATAATTAGGACCTTAGCAGGATGTAGCCACCTCAAGAACACAGCTGGCTGCTCACAGCTGCTCTTCATTTCTCCACGTTTGTCCCCAACACAGGGAAACGCCCCAGCTGCCAGGATGCTGGGCTCTGGGTCACGTGGAGGGGAGCGTGGAGGGGAGCCACCACCTGGAATCAGCCATCTGCCTGTGTGAAATTACAGCGCTGCAACCAGACCCGCACATGCGCACTGGAAAGGACCCGAAGGCTCTGTCTGCTAGGAGGGAGCAGCTTTCCTGAAGCTCAGCTGTTACCTGAGGGTGCAGTGATGCCCTTGCAGCAGGCTGTGACCGCACTGGGTGGCTGTGAAGGGAATTCGGGCATTTTTCTCACATCCCAGTTGTGTGGTTGATATGAAGGTGTATGAAACTAAGTTCTAAAAGGGATGCTTGTTAGAATAAAAAGATTGTGAAACATCTCAACACTGTTGTGATGGTGCACACCTGTAATCCCAGCATTCTGGGAGGCTGAGGCAGGAGGATCACCAGGAGTTTTGAGGCCAGTCTGAAATACATAGTAAGACCCTGTCTCCTCCCTCCTCCACTGCCAAAAAAAGGCGAAAGAAACCCTCTGTATTTTTCTCTGCGTGTTGGATGTATCTCCATATATAAGAACTTTGGTTAATATTGCATTGTTCGTAAATGGTTCCTGAATCCATCTATCACTTGTAAAGTCTGTTGGTAAAAATACTGTGATAGTGAGCATTTATCCAGCATGCACAGGGCCCAGCACTAGAGAAATGAGTAAATGGACAGATACTGATGCGAGGTAGAGAGATTGATTTCATCAGTTCCATTAAGTAGCAGAGCCAGGATTCAAACCCAAGCAATCTGGTTCCAGAACCAAGTCCTTTCCATTGTTGTACTCGAGACTGAACTCCAGTGCGTTACAGCTGAGCGATGTTCCCAGCTCTTTTTGAGTCCTGGACTGCGCCGGCTGGAAACCTACTCTATCAGCAAGTGTGCTGACTCCTTGGGTCCTGGCTCGCAGCAGGCTCGGCTGCCCCGCCATATTAACCGTGGTCTTCACCTGTGTACACACACGCAGCCAAGATACGCTCACACAACTCAACACCTCTGAAGCCACACTGCAAGGCTGCCTCAGAAAGGTGCTTCAGGGAGGAAACAGCAGCTGAGAAGGGTAAAACCATCTAACTAACTGCAGGGGTTTATGGGAAGCTGGACCTGGATGTGCCAGAGTCACCTCCAGTTTTACAATTTTTTTTTAGTGCTGTATCTCCCTAAATCGCTAAGTTGCCCAGGCTGGGCTTGAATTTGAGATCCTCCTGCTTCAGCCTCTTGCACAGGCCTGGCACCGACGCTGCGGCCCACTCCCAGGAAGAGGCCAGGGCGGGCTGGAGAATCAGCTGTGCACTCCTCACCCACTGCAGACCCCCGCAGTCCCAGGGCGAGGGCCGAGCTGAGGGCGGGAGGAGGGCGGCGAGGCCAGCGCACAGCGGTGCTTCCCGAGGGAGACCTGTAAACCTCTGCGGGAGCAAGAAAAGCCCGGGGGTTTTGTCATCACCGGCACTGACACTGCCTGCCTGCATCTCTCTTTCAAAAACATCAAGAGGAGCTCTGCTGGGCAGCAGTGGGCGTCTCCCAGCCCTCGGAGGCTCCGTGAGGTCACTGTCAGGAGTCTGACCCATTTCTTCTGTTTATTCTTCACACTTCATTCAACTTACACTCAAAAATAACTGCCGGAGCTGGGGATTTAGCTCAGCGGCAAAGCGCCTGCCTGGCAAGCACAAGGTTGTGAGTTCGGTTCCCGGTACCGGAGGAAAAAAAAAAAACAAAAAAAAACCTGCCAGCTGGGCGGGCAGCCACATACCTGTGCCCAACACAAAAATGGTAGGTACTACCTACAGTCCTCACGCTGTACCTTACATTTCTAGATCATAAGTTATCAGAGTTCAATTCCCTGATATACTGTGGTTACACAGAAATGTCTGCCCTGACGAATTTAGCAGTAAACGGTCACATCCACAACTATTCTCAAATGGGCAGGCAAAGACAAAACGTTATCTAATGGTGACCAGGTAGGTTTGCAATACACTATCCTTGCACCTTCCCGTAAGCTGCAGTCTGAAAAAAAGAGGAAAAAGCTGTGTGTGTGTACACACAGATACTAGGCTGAGGTCTATGACACTCATATTTAAAGTTGTTCTGGAGACAGGATCTACATAGTCCCTTGAATTTTGGACCCTCCTGCCTTAGTCTTCTTCCAAGTAGTAGCTTCTATTATGAGTATTCACCACCAGACCTTGCACACTGTTTTTTTGGGATGAGGTCTCATTGGGTAGCCCAGCCTGTCCTCCTGCCTCAGCCTCCCATATGCTACGATTACATGCAGCTTCATATTAAACATTTTCATCTACAAAAACAGTAGCATATGGGACAATCGCAGGTCTCTAAAACCCAACTTACTCCCCAGCACGCACTGTAACAATGTTTCCCAACAGTTACTAGCTTACATATTAGGACAGCAACTATTAATATCTCAAAACCCGTAGACCAAGGACTGGGCCTTTCAAGTTTGTTTGCCCGTTATTAGACACTAGCAGGTCAAAAGGGCACTGGTATCTTTGGTACAGCGCTTCATTTCATAGCTGTACTTGAGGAAGTTCATTTTTGGTTAAAATTATTTCAACAGTTAAAAATTAGGGTATTTTTTGTTTTTTTAAGAAGGGAACTTACGGTGGGTGTGGTGGGACAAACCTATAATCCTGGCTACTTAGGAAACTAAGGCACATGGTCCACAAGTTTGAGTCCAGCCTGGGCGATTCAGCAAGACTCCGGACCAAAGGAAGGGGCTGGGGAGGATGCGGCTCAGGGGAAGGGCACAAGCGAGGCCCAGGATTCCGTGTCCAACACCAGAAAGAAAAACGATGTCCAAAAGCTTCCAACCCACCAAACAGACGGGGACTACGTAAAGTGAGCTCGGCGGATATTTTCCGCGTTCTTGACTTGGCGTCCAATGCATTTAACAAACCTTTGGCACTTGCACTTCGCCTCTTCCCTGAATTCAAGTTTTGTTTCTGTTTTTCAGTGCTGGCGACCCCAGGGCCTCGAGCACACTGGACAAAGAATCCACCACACCACAGACAAGAATCAGAATGTGAGCCACCCCATGGAACCTAACGCTGCTTACTGAGTACAGTGGCAGAAAAGGGCTCTAATTGTAGTTTTGTGCAACAATTATGCAACAGGCACACACACTTGGGGAAGGGGAACTCGTTCTCAGTGCACACCCTGGCCCGGCAGCAAGGTGTATTGTGGGTTCCTGGGACCAACGAATAACGCACTAGCGCTGCCTTTCTCACAGCGGAAAGAGCTGCCCCAGCCTGAGCCTCCCTCCAGGCTGGTATTACCCGACATCGCTACCATTCCGCCCAGACTCAGGCCCCCGGGAGACGGGGTGCTGCTCTCCGACCTCCTCTGTGGGGCCTCAGCCCAACTTGACTGGTGCCTGGCCTTCGACTCAGCAGCCTGTCAGCCTACAGCTGTCAGCTTGGCTGCAATGAGCACACTCCTAACCTGACTCCTAGAACACAGAGGCAGGGGGCTGGGGATTTAGCTCAGCGGCAAAGCGCCTGTCTGGCAAGCACAAGGTTGTGAGTTCGATTCCCGGTACCGGAGAAAAACCAAAAAATAAATAAATAAAAACACAGGGGCAGTCCCAATAGTACAAGTCCTTGCACTAGAGCAGTATTTTTGTAAGTGTTCTAAAAATCACCTGGAAGTCTTACATCTATGCGAGTGGCAAAAGGGTCCTTATTTCTTATTTTTATTGAGACAGGGTCTTACTGTGTGTAGTGCAGGCTGGCCTCGAACTCAGAGCAAGCCTTCTGTTTCAGCCTTCCAAGTGCTGGGATTGCAGGTGTGCACCACCACACCCAGCTTTATTTTATAAGTTAAAAATTTAGTTATCAAAAAAAAAAAAAAAAAATTCAGTTACTGAGGCCAGGCATAGTGGTGCATGCCTATAATAATCCCAACACTCTGGAGGCTGAGGCAGGAGGATCGATGCGAGTATGAGGCAGTCTGGCCTACATAGTGAGTTCAAACTGAGTCTGAACAATAAGCAAGACCTGTCTCAAAAAAGCAGTTCAGTTACTAAGAAAAATACTCTTTCAAAATGTTTTAACCTACACCTGACCAATTTAGGAGCACATGGTACCAGAAAGCTGGTAGTGCCTTCTGCCCAGGAAGGCGGCCTGGAGTTGGTCTTGCAGATTCTGAAACAACAGCTGGGAACAGAGAACAGGGTAAGGTTCCCCCCAAGTCTCTTGGACATTTCTCAGCAGGTAGCAAGCCTTGCAAAAGACGTCATTTTTCTCAACAACTGGAAACCAGAGAAATGCCAACCAAGGAACGACTGAAGAGTTCATGAGAAAAACATTACTCTTCTTTGACATGTGCATGCTTCAGCTTATGCAAAACAGACAGACAAGTTTTTAAAATTGTTTATTTGGGAAAAGTGCTTCTTACAAAAGGGCAGCTGTAAAATACAGAGACCTCTGCCAACAATTAACTTGTTTTTTCTTAAAGTGAAAGAATGGGTGGGGTCCGAGGAATCAGAGCAGTAGATGGACCAATCAGGAACATTTCCCAAGTTATTTTCAGGAAACTGATGAACTTGCCAGGGAGGAACTCTAACAAGTGGGTAGCTTAGCTTGTCTCGAGAATCCCCTTCCCTCCCCCGCAGAGGAAGTGTGACTTATTGCTGCCAACCAGTTACAACACTATGGCACACCCTGTCGGGGGAGTATGGCCGTCCATCCGCCTGCCCACCTGCACAGCGCTGGGGTGGACCGGGGCAACACCCACCAAAACAACTCCTGCAGCAGAAGCCCTCGACCAGGACAAAGCTTGTTCCAAAAGTGCCTGGACCAGAAAGGCGAGACCATGAAACACGAAACCCAACACCACAGCCAAGCGCCAGTGGGTACTGGTGGATGGGATAACTGGGTCACTAACCTCCCTGGCTAACCGACCGCTAACTAGACAGCTAGCCTGGTTACATTAACTACCATTCGCGGCTTTGTCTTTTCAGATCTATGGGCAACAAGGGGCTGACACCACGAAACCAAGTCTGTCCACTAACCCTAAGAATACTGCATCTGTGCAGGGGCGGAAGCTCCCTGCACGCCTGCTCATGCTCACACACCTTTTCTCCGGACCGTGGGTGTCCACTGCCAACCCTGCACTGATGGATGCCACCGATGCCACGCGCCTGTCCAAGGTGCTCCTATCACGCTAAGCTCACACTAACACCTGGTTCTAGCTGCCCGGTAGTATCCGTGTGTGCAACGAAACAAGAGGCCAAAAACCACAGGACAACCTCACGGGGCGGGGGTCACAAGGGAGGAACAGACACAAACACAGACGTGCGGGTCTCCCCGCAGCAGAGGACCCACTGCTACATCCAGAACAGAAGGCTACTTACTCGCCAGCTCAGGCCCCTTCACCCGTCACCCTACTCTTGGACCACCAAGCACGGCCGGTGCTTTTCCATTTGAACCTGGGAGCCTTGACATGAGTGTGGAAAGTCCATAAACACAACCAGGCCAAAAACAGGTGACGCAACAAACCTACGCTAACTGTCTGACAGTTAAATAGATGTTACAAAAAAAACTAACTTGAAGATTTATTTTTGTAACTTTTTGAAACAGAGAAAACGACACACTCTTGGGGAAGTGGGGTGGAAAGCAGGCCCTGGTAAGTGGTCACGACAGCACCCGGAGTAAGGCCTGCCTAGGAGAGCCGCACACCGCCACACGGCACAGGGGACAGCTACTGTCTGAGGCTCGGCAGGCCGTTCCCTCGCCATGCAAAGCCGCTATAGGTCCAAGTCATAAAAGTCTTCCAGCTCATCGTGATACAAGTCCCACTCGTCCTCAGAGTCAGTCAGCTCGTCGTCCCCACCTGCAGCCAAAAGCATAAGCAACATCTCGCCCAGCTCAAAGGTGACAACCTCCTCTTCGTCGTTGTCAAAGGGACTGCTGTTCTCTCTTTCCTCAATGAGCTCCCAGAAGTGGTTCCTCCGTTGGGCCTGTAAGAAACAAGGCCGTGATAGGGGTAGCACTGCCGGGTAGAGTCTTCTATTCTGGCACTTACAAGGCAAAGCGTCCAGACTTCAGGTTTCTGGCTCCACCCGACCAATGCCTCCCCTGGGTGGCTCGCTGCGGGCTGGCGAGGCTGGGGCTTTGTGCTCGCGATTCCTCCTGTCCTGCTATCTGCTACCCCTCCCGGGTGCCGAGCTCTTTCCTCCTTGGGGCCTCTCTAGCCTCGCTCGCTCCCAGACCTGAGTGCTAACCGTCACGTGCCGCTCCCGCAACATGTGTATGACTCATCTGACAGCGTGGCAGTCCCCTCCTTTAAGAAAACAGTGAGAGTTACCCGGTATCTGCTTGATGTTCCCACTTTCTGTCTCTGTGGCTCCTCTCTACGGCCATCAGGGTACGCATGCTTGTAAAAACAGTTCCCTCCAAATGGGCAGCTCCCACGGCCTTCATCAAAATACCTGCATGCCTTGTTGCTGGAAAGGAAAATATCGCAGCCCTTATTCACAGTGGACTTCAGGTCTGTCGGGGACTATCACCCGGGGTGTGTTACATGGCAGGGGACAGAGGCAGGTGCCTGCACACAGCCCTCCCAAGGTATGTGCTCGTCAAGGGATGCGCTAACACACGAGACGCTAGAAACCAACTTGGTTCAAGTCTATGCTGTTTACCAGCTCTAGCACCGCAGATCCAGCAGAGCGCAACCCTTCTAGAAAGCCAACACACAAGAATTAACAAAGGACAACTACGACATGGACTCAGACTCGGGTGAGGCAGAGCCCATGAGCAGGCTTTGACGACCGCCATACAGGTGTGATTGTAACGCAGTCCCTTGGCATGCACCCCAAGGACTGTGTTACAGCAAGCTGTAAATCGGGCAGGCAAGTGGTATCGGGGTGACAAGAGACCGCACTGGGGAGTTAAAGAAAGGGTAGGAAGGAGGTAGGAGTGTGTAATGCAGCACTGTTCTTTCCAAAGTGAACCCAGGCTGCTGGGCTCTCGGCTTGAGAAAGGCTGCAGTGCTCATACCTCATTGCCTCCTTGTATTTCTGAATGAGTTTCTGCTTCTCTTCTTTCTCCTCCACCCAGTACTCACTTGGAATGACAAAGTTAGATGTGATCCGGCATTCGGGGCAGGACCTGGGAAACAATGAACAGGCTGCAGTGCTCACCCCTGCCAGGGGACAAGGACACACCCCGGTGTGCTCCCTGGCTTAGCACCTGGGCCGAGGCCGTGGGCACTGCCTGATGGGGTCACCCTGTCCCGCACCGGCCCGTGAGGCAGGACAAATGCCTTCACAGGTTCAGCTCAGTAGCTAGCCAGTTCATTTTTAAAAAAATAGTAACTTTAAAAAAGTTCATTTTTTAAAAAATAGTAACTTAAAAACAACAAAAGAAGACATTTCACACAGACTCCTTTTTCTTTCGTTGAAATAAATTTATTTCTTGTAACTTTGCTCTGTTTAGGTTACGTAGCTTTTGTTCAGTTATGAGAACAATCTTTAAGGATGGTGGATTATTGGCTAGCTTAATGAATGAAATACGAAAGTGATGTCAAATGTCAGGAAACACACATTCAGAGCTAGTTTCTCCATGGAGCCTAAACTGGCTAATCCATTAAACACATCTCCTCAGAAAAAGCACAAAAACCTACTAACTGATACACAGGGCTTTCTCGTTCAAATTAAGTAGAGACCGACTACCTTACCAGCTAGCAAGATACACAGAAGGAATCCCAATTAGAAGAATACCCAGTGTCAACATAAAATGCATGCATTTAAATGCGGTCCATCTGGTTGAAAGTTGGCACGAGATACTACATTCTTCCCCAAAATAGAAAGCACAAATGGAGATTGGGGAGGAGTCTCACTTTATGATCTTGCTCTCAAATTGCTTAGCACTCCTCCACTTGCGAATACACTTGAGACAGTAGGTGTGGCTGCAGTTGGACAGGATTCCGAAGCGGCGCTCGCTGGGGTTGGCTTTCTCATACACCACCTCCATGCAGATGCCACACACCATGTCCTTGCTGCGCTGCACGGCAAAGGACAGCTCCATGTCCTTCTCGTGGGCCTCGATGCAAGACTGCAAGAGGGGAGAGCACAAGGAGGTCAGGCACTGGACCCTTGGAGATGCCAACTCCACGGTTCATGGCTCAACTACAAAGACCCTGTTCTCAGTCTGACTTGGAAAGGGAACACAGGCCCAAAGGCACTATGGGACTTTACAATAATGTAACATCAAGAGAGTAAAGATGTAAATTCACCGATTAAAAACTCACCCACTTTATTTATTTTTTAGTGCAGGCTGGCCTCAAACTCATGGCAATCCTCCTATCTCAGCTTCCTGAATGCTGGAAAAACTTACCCACTTTAAGCTTGCACACTAAAGACAGTGTTCCACGCTAAGTATGTCAAATTTCTGTTTTTCAGATGGAGAATATAATTAGAATTAAGGGGGCTAGGGATATATCTCAGCGGCCTAAGCGCTTGCCTGGCAAGCGCAAGGTCGTGAGTTCAATTCCCGGTACGGCAAAAAAAAAAAAAAAAGAAATAGAATTAAGGATGTAATTTAAAATCTGTGAGAAGACAGGGTAAAGGAACCCAGCATTTTGGCACATGCCTATAACCCCAGCACATGGTCCAGCCTGAACTATGTATGAGACACTATATCAAAAAACCAAAACAAAAACTAAAAAAAGTAAAAGAAACTAACATTTATTAGCTGACAATTATGGGCTAGGCACACCATTTTCACGGGCCTTTTTTGTTTTTTCATTTATATATTTGTTTACAGTCCTGGGAATGAAGGCCAGAGCCGCCTCATGCTTGCTAGGCAAGAGCCACCACCACTCAGATGCCTTTAACACAACTTACAGCCTGACTGTGGTAACTCTCTCTCTCGCGTGTGTGCGCACACACAGCCCACTGGAGTATGCAATTAAATAATTTTAGTATATTAAAAACTGTGCAAGGCACAGTTTTATTTATTTTTTGCTGGGATTATACGAGTGCATGGTGGCGCATGCCTGTAATCCCAGCACTTGGGAGGCAGAGGTAGGAGGATCACTGCAAGTTCGAAGTCAGCCTGGACTGCATAGTGAGTTTAAAACCAGCTTGAACTGTACAGTGAGACCCTATCTCAAAAAGACATAAACAAACAGAAACTGTGCAACCATTACGATAGTTAACATTAGAATGTTTTCATCACCCCTACACTCCGAAGAAACTGCATACCCACTAGCAATTACACCTGCCACAAAATTCCCAGACCTGGGAAACCACGAATGTGAGGACTTGCCAGCCCTACGGCTGCTGTAACCCACTTTGTTCACACAGCAAGTTTTTAAGGTTACTGTGGGTGTAGCAGACAGCTGTCTCCTTTCTATCCACTGCATGGGTACACACCTGCTGTCCATTCACTGTATGACATATACTTAGGGTGTGGGCGAGCGGGGTGAAACACCCTGCTATGACATTCCGTTCAAGTGTCTGTGTAGGCACCACACACTTTAATCTGTACTAAGTATGCTTACAGGAAATAGAAAACGCAAAAAAGCAATAGAAAAGCCACCTATAAAGTTGGATGCAATGGTGTAAGTCTGTACTTTCAGCACTCAGAAGGCTGAAGCAGGAGAAATGAGCTCAAGACCACCCTAGGCTACATATGGAGATCTTGTCTCAAAAAAGGAAATAAAGCAAATTACATGGCTTTGCATGCCTGTAATTCCAGCCATCTATCTGGGAGGCTGAGGCAGTAGGATCCCAAGTTGAAGCCCAGCCTGGGCAGTTTACCAACTTAGCAGCAAGACCTCATCTTAAAATAAATGTAAAAAGGGAGTAGGGCTGTACCTTAGTGTAAAACATAAACAAACAAACAAATAAATAAATGGGGCTGGAGGTGTACCTCAGTACAAAGGCTAGGGTTCAATTCCTCGTACCACAAAAATTAAGCAGAGCTCCATTTAACACAGCAATTCCACTGGACATGGTGGCGCACGCCTGTAATCCCAGCACTTGGGAGGCTGAGGCAGGAGGATCATTGAGGGTTCAAGACCAGTTTGGGCTACAAAGTGAGCTTAAGGTCAGCCTGAACTGCACAGTGAGACCCTGTCTCAAAAAGATAAAAACAAAACAAAACAAAAAATCCAAAACACACCCCACAAAAAAACACAGCAATTCCATTCCTAAGGATTTGTCTGAGATAAAGACATGTCCAAACACTTTTACACAAATGTTCATAGTATCACTGTTCATAATAGCCCAAAGGTAAAACACTCCAAATGTCCATGAACTAACAGAGAAAACATATGCCACAGCCTGGATGTGGCGGTACACACCCACGACCCCAGATGCCAGGGCAAAATTCCTTGTTTTAGGCAACCTAGACAACTAACTCAGCAAAACCCTCTCTCAAAATAAAATATACAAGATGGGTGTGGTGGTGCATGCCTATAAGCCCAGCACTGGGAAGGTTGAGGCAAGAGGATTGTTGTGAGTCTGAGGCTAGCCTGGAATTCAAAGTGAGCAAGACCAGCCTGAACTGCACAGTGAGACCCAGTCTCTCAAAAAAAAAAAAAACAAAACACACACACACACACACACACACACACACACACTCACTCTACATACACAGGAAGGATCAGGGATGTAGCTCAGTGGTACAGCACCCCTGGGTTCCATCTCACTGAAATGCGTAACATGCAGAACCTTAGAAACATCAGGCCTATGCTAGGCGCCTGTCCCCAAAGCCTACACACTGTGACACTCCCAACAGGAAACCCCCACCCCTGGCAGCAGGACAAAGTGGAACCCTTGCACCAGAAGGTTAAGACTGGACTAGACTGCTAGTGAGTATGGGGTTTCTTTTTCGAGATTGTGAAAGTAGGCTGGGGATTTAATCCACAGTACCACAAAATGATAATAGCAAAAAAGAAAAATTTATTTATTTTATTTAGTGGCACTTAGAACTCAATCTAGGGACTCTGTGCTGAGCTATATCCCTGGCACTTTTTTTTTTTTTTTTTTTTTTTAAACTAACTCACTAAATTGCCTGGGCTGGGCCAGGGGTATAGCTCCATGGCAGAGTGCCTGCCTAGTAAGAGCAAGATCCTGAGTTCAAGTCCCAGTACCCAAAAAAAAAAAAAAAAGAAAGAAAGAAAGAAGAAAAAGAAAAAGAAAAAAATAAATAGCCTGGGCTGGCCTCAAGCTTTCGATTTCTCTTGCCTTGGCTTCTAAGAATGCTAGCATTCACGTGTTTGTCTGAAGTGCAGCAGCACTGAGAAAGGACAAAGCCCACTCCCCACAGTACACTCTGCTGCCCGAGACTTACTTTTATGTGCTGGGACCTCTGGGCTGTGTCCACCGGGTGCAGGACCTGCAGCCCGCACATGTCGCAGACGTCACCGTGCAGGTACACGCAGTTCTCCCCGTAGCGGCACTCCCCCACGGCAGCGTAAGGGCAGAGCTGCTTTTTGGCATCCACCGAAGCTGTCTCCTTCTCAGACTCCGCCTTGGGCACCGGGCCCTGCACGGGGGTCTCGGAGCAGGCAGGGGCGGCTGCAAATGTGTGAGAGGGGTGAGGGCCAAGAGGTGAGGAGATACACAAACTCTAAGGGACTGAGAGCTTAACTGAGCAAGACCAAGGGAGAACTGCGATCGAACTTCCAAGTCCACTGAACTACTCTCTTGGAAGACATGACTTTTCTCTAAGGCTGACATTTCCAAGACTGGGTTTGAAAAAAAAGAACGTTTCTGTAATTCTTGAGGAACTGAACTTTAATCTTAGAAGTACTAGTTACAGAGAGGCTTCAGTTTTAAAAACATCCTGAATTCGTGGCTACCAGGGTTCACATAGCTGCTCTGCCTCCATCTCAGGTGAGCCAACTTCAAGCGCTAGGAGCAGGCTGCGTCTGGGGGCCGGGAAGGACGCCGCGGTGCTCAGCTCCTCGGGCCGCTGCCCGGCCCCGGCGTTGCCTTTGGCGCACTCTGTAGATACTCACCGCGGCCGCAGTAGGGCTGCCCGGGCACAAACTCAATGGCGTTCACCCAATCCTCGGACCCGGCACCCACGGCGGGCAAACTCGCGTTTCTCGACTCAGCCTCTCCCGCATTCATCTCCACAAGGGGCCCGGCGACGGAGGAGAGACTTGAGGCAGCGGCAAGGGATGGTTTTGCGGTTAGATCTGTAGCAGCTGCTTCTTCCTGTTTCAATGGCTTGCTGTGCTCATATCTGCAAAAATGGAACCGCGGTTACTGTCCATCACACACGCTCACCGACACTCCTTGGACTTCTCGGCTTCCAGGTGGCCATGAGCTATGTGGGAAACTGTGAAAGGGCTGCAGATGGAGCGCAGCGCGCCCTGGGTTCAGTCCCAGTATCGCCACACCCCCAAAAATAAGGACAAAAAGAAACAAGTGCACATTTTAGGCTTTGTAGCTCAGAGTCAGTGTCACAACCACCGAACTCTGCCAGCATCTGCAGTACCAAAGACATAGGCACTTACACAAGCACCTCTGACGGCGTGTGGTCTGCAGGCTGCAGACCACTGTAACGCTTCAGTCACTCGCTGACTGATCAGAGCAAGGTAAGGAGCGCCGTAGCAAACACATCCCACACTGCCGATGGTGAAAGGCAGACTGGATTTACAAAATATGCCATCTGCGTTTTCCTTCCCAGAGCCACTCCCTGAGTCCCTGCTTCACTCTCTCCACTCTCTCCTCCCTTCTGCATCAGTACACCATTAATCCTCCGCTGAAGACGGCATGGAAAACTACTTCCCTCGAGGAGCAACTTGCGGACTCAGGAAACGCTCAGCTTTTCAGCCTTTTACAGAGCGGCATTCAGACACAGAAACTATTACGTGTGGAATAAGTGTAAACCGTGCTTTAGCCACGGGGTGTATGTATCCAGCAATCACACAGTAAAGCAGTACTAAGCATGGTCAGCTGTGTTATATGCATCTCGTTTATAACCAACCCCCACCCAAAAACACACATAAAACACCTACAACACCAAAGATTGTCCGTTGGGGTGGGCATAGCTCAAGGTAGAGTGTTTGCTTAGCATGAATGAGGCCTTAGGTTCTATCTCTAGCACTGTCCTCACCCAAGTCTTAGGAAAAGTTTTAAAAAGAACTCAGGGGGGCTGGGATTTAGCTCAGTGGCAGTGCCTACCTAGAAAGTGCAAGGTCCTAAGTTCAATTCTTGGTGCCCCCCCGCAAAAAGAACTAAAAGGCAGTATTAATGGTAAATGCCTATAATCCCAGCACTCAAGAGGCTGAGGCAGGAGGATGTTCCAAGTCAGCCTGGGCCACAAAGTGAGTTGAAGGACAGCCTGAACAACATACCAAGATCTTGTGTCTCCTCTCTCAATCAACCAACCAACCAAAAAAGACAGGCTTCCACACTCAGTGACTAGGAGAAAATGGTGTCACAGGGCACCTGCAAAACTACCCGAAAAACCAGCTGGTAGAGCACTGATCTTTACTCCCACAGACTTTCCGCAGTAGTGACTCCAGTTTCTCATTCACTCTGCCTATCCAGACCAGATGGGCCCTCAGGACTATCTGTAGCTCCAGCTGTCTCACAGCAGTCCACCCTCTACAACTGTCTGCAGAGGACTGGGCTTGTCGCTCACCAGTTCACTTCCTTTCCTAGTCATCGTTGGCAGTAACAGCCCCAGGAACCCAGCTTCCCACAATCAGCCCAGCCTGCAAACCCTGCACAAATTTCCCACAACAAAGACCTGCTTATTTGGCATGGGATGGGGCACTGCCACCCGCCCCTGCCCTTTGCAGAACGAGCACTGAACCTAGGGCCTTCACACTGTACTGCACCTCCAGCCTTTTTTTAAATTTTGAGACAGGATCTTTCCAAGCGGCCAAAATTACCCAGGCTGGGCTTGAACTTGTGATCCTCCCACCTCAGCCTCCCTGATTGCTGGATTATAGGTGTGCACCACTACACCCACGTTTCTCCTGTAATACTAACTGCAAAGTAATCTCTATGCTTAGAAATCCAGGGATCCATTTCTGAGCTTCCAGTGAGCCAAAAAGACCTTCTGCCCCACCCAATGGATGACTTAACCTCACCATCTCATCCATCAACAATTCATACCTTTCACTAAGTATTTGACCCCAACAGCTTCCAAGTTTTTCTAACATGACACTAACACTGGTTATGACACTGCCAGAGGCTTACCTAGGTAGTGGTTTAAAGTACATCCCAAACTCGGCACATGCCTCTCTTCCGAAGGCGGAACCAACTCCTGTCCCCTGGATGTGGGCTGGACAGCACATGACTGTGAGCTTAGGTCCGTCCCCTCTTAAGCTGCTGGCTCCAGGGAAGGCTGGCGCCAAGCTAGCTGGACCCCACAGTGGCCTGTGGAGAGGCTTTCTGTGGAGGACCTGGGGTCTCCTGCTACCAGCCATAGCACGAGCCACAGGGCCCAGCCCCATCAAACTCTCTTGGCTGCCGCCCTGGCCACAAACGCCGATGGCCACCCTCTGAGTCTGAGATAGGGCCACTCAGCTAAGCCACTCCTGGGTTCCAGACCCCCAGAACCTGTGAGACCAGAAGTACTTGCTGGGTTTGTTTCTGTTGTTTGAGACGGGGTCTCACTATGTAGTCCAGGCTAGCCCCAAAGCCATGGCGGCTCCCTCCGCCTCAGGCTGCTTACAGGCGTGCGCCACCATACCCCACTAATGCTTGCTGCTCTCACCTGCTGCACTCTGGGGCAGTTAAACACCAACAGGTTACTAACACCCCTAGACACACACGTACCTTCTACACTGGAAAGGTAAGCAAGCAAACCCGTGCCACAACTTCTAAACAGAAACCGTAACTGACAAATTGGGCCTTAACAGGACTGTGGCACAATTCAAATGGTGGGGAGACACTCCTCTTACTTCCCTAACACCCTGTGACAGGCACCAAAAGCATCTTCCCTAAGGTGGCAACTGCTCCTCAACTTTTGTTTTGTTTCCCAATGTGGATGAATCAACCAAACCTACAACTAACTAGTAACTTTGTAATTGGGGGTTCAGCTCAGCAGAAGAGGCTATCAAGCATGAAGTTACCGGTTTATAATCAACAGCACAGAAAAAAAAAAGTAACCTAACTCACTGCAAATTCCTGGGACTCTATTCTATCCCCCTAGCTCACTGAAACCAGTCCAGTTTACTCAAATACACAGGTCAGACCTTTGAAAAGGATACCTTCACTACAGTCCATCCCGAAAGTGTGCAAAAGAAACCACTCCTCAGGCACTAACGCAGGGCTGGTAGTGACAGAGTTAAGACAGGGTCTTATGGCTGGGCGTGGTGGTGCACTCCTGTAATCCCAGCACTTGGGAGGCTGAGGCAGGAGGATCGTTGTGAGTTTGGGACAAGCCTGGGTTACAAAGTGAGCTCAAGGCTAGTCTGAACTGCATATCGAGACCCTGTCTCAAAAAGAAACAAAACAAAACAAAACATAGTCTTTATTATATAGTCTTTCAAGCTGTAATCCTCAGTAATCCAAGATGTGGGCCTCAGCCTCCATAAATGTGGGGGTCAGACCACCATAGCCAGGTAATTTAGAACTAGATTTTTTGTTGTTTCTTCTTTGAGGTAGGATCGTGCTATGTAATTCAGGTTGGTCTCCAAGTTCCTGCAACCCTGCCTCACCTCCCCAGTGCTGGGATTACAGAATCCACCACCACGCCAGGCCCAGATTTAGGACCGTTTTGACCTTTGCAAATGGAAAGGGGATGACGAGTTGGAGGGAGCAGGAAGGGACAGGAGGTGAAGAGGACAAAAAGTACTAAGACGTGTTGTGTACATGTACAAACTCCCCACAATAAATGTCATCACAGTATGTACTGCAAACCTGTACTAACAAAAATACATAATTAATTCAAAACACGGAATACTTTCTCTGCAGGATACAGTGCTGTCCGTGTACTGCCACTCCTAAGGAGCACTTCTCAAAGCATTAACTTTTTTTTTTCTTTTTTACTTTTTTGAGACAGGGTCTTGCTATGCAGTTCAGGCTGGCCTTGAGCGCACTTTGTAGCCCAGGCTCATCTCGAACTCGCAACGATCCTCCTGCCTCAGCTTCCCAAGTGCTGGGAGTACAGGTGTGCGCCACCACGCCTGGTGCTAACTCTTCTTTTTAAGACAGGGTCTCACCATGCAGTTCGAACTCCCAATGATCTTCCTGCCTCAGCCTTCAGAGTGCTGGGAGTACAGGCATGCGCTACCATACCCAGGTAAGTAATTATTTTTACACTGCTGTGGATAAAGCTAGGGGCCCAGAGTATGCCAGGCAAGTGTCCTACCACACAGCTACACTTTCAGCCCAAAAGTGTTAAATGTCTTTAACCTATCATGTATAAACCTATTAACATTACGTATTTTACTGTTTCTCTCACCACCCTCACCAGAAATGGTTTTTGTTTATTTGTTTGTTTGCTTTTTGAGACAAGGTCTTGCCATGCAGTTCAGGCTGGCCTTGAACTCCTTATGAAGCCCAGGCGGACCTCAAACTCACAAAGATCCTCCTGCCTCAGCCTCCTGACTGATGAGATTACAGGCTTGCATCACCCCGCCCAGTGTCCGAAACGAATTTATAAATTGATTCTTACCTGCAGCGGTCTCCATACACACAGTAACCTCGCTGGAAATACTTGCACACTACACCATAGGGACTGTCGGAGAGGTCATGTGAGTAGCGACAGTTATCTCCTTCCTTACAAACCCCATGCATGAAATACCTGCGAGACAGAGGACCATAAAGCTACATTAGAAAGCCGGTCGTCAAAGTATAAGACTAACACATTTTTGTAGTAAATGAACAGAGAGTATAGCCCTAGATCACAGTCCGAAAGACCCGTGTGGGCAGTGCAGCACTCTGCCCAGGGCACAGGCACCAACTTAGGTCTCAGGCATGCACCTATCACTGCAGGTCAACACTGACCACTGTCCTTGTCTTACAGATCTAAGGAGTAGCTTCTTATTTTCCATTAACTTTAGCCACACTGGCAGCTCTATCTGTAGAACAATCAAAGATAAAGAAGCAAGAAACCAAAGAGAAGGGTCATACTACTGTTCAGTTTCACTTCTTGGAGGAAGCATGCTGTAAGGAATGAGAGATGCAGCTCAGTGGCAAAGCCTTTGCCTAGCATCCCAGAGAGCGAGCGGGAGGGAGACGGGAGGCAAGGAGGAGGAAATACAGGAAAGGAGAAAGGGAGGGAGGGTCCGTTACGGGTTCCCCAGACCAATGATGGTGAACCTTTTAGAGACCGTGCACAACCTGCCACCCCAAACCCACTCATTCATCGCAAAGTGCCAACACTGCAATCACCCCTGAGCACGCGATGCTCGGCTGCTGGGGCAAGCTGGCTGGCGCGCCTAACCGAGGGCCCTGTGTGCCTGCTGCAGCACGCATGCTATATGTCCACCACCACTGCCCTAGACCATTTCAATGCTTTAAAAGCAGCACATGAAGACCAAAGTAAAACCATCTGCAAAAGTAGAGGCAAAAGGAAATGACCCAGCCAGTTGCCTTAAGGATTACAGGAAGTGGCTAGCGGTTTCCAAACCCTGGTGTGGGACACACGCAGAAGCCTCCAGGTGGACTCAGACCTCTGTCCACAGCAGCAGCAGCACCTGGCACTCTGTTAGAGATCCGCATTTTGAGATCACACCAGGGACTTAGGTCAGGACTCACACTAGGTCAGAAAGGAGGTGTGGGGCCCAGCAACCTGTGCGGGTTAGGGAAATGGAGGACTCAATGTGGGCAATCTCGATCTGGTAAAGTGCATGAACCCCTTCCCCGTTTTCCCATCACTGACTCGAGCAGGGTTGTTCTGTAGATCTTTCTCCTGAGCGGTTTATGGAGATTCAGTTTGGCAAACCCCCGTGACACACATCTCCACAGTTAGTACAGAGCAGGAAACTAACCGCTTGCTGGCTATGACCGTGCCTGGCCCCATGGAAGGCGCTCTGGGCCCAAGACCTCGCACAGCTACCCTGAGACAGGAGGCAGGCAAGGATAAGCACAAAGCACCTGCCCACTGAACTGAATGACACAGAAACACACTCACTTGTAGCTACGGTACTCAAACAGACAAAAACCAGAGACAATGGTACACACCCTTAACGCCAGACAGGGTCAAGAGGCCAGCCTAGGACACTCAGCAAGACCCTGACCAAAACAAAATCTCAAAGGCTCGGTAGCAGAGCACTTCCTAGTGTGCCCAAGGCCCAGGTTCAATGCCCAGGACCAAAAAAAGAGGGGGAGACACCCCAAACGACAATGTAAAAGGTTCTACTGGGGGATCATCTGCATGTGAACCTTCTAAGTAACAGTACTGAAAAACATGACAAAAACAGAACACTGAAACATTGCAGTAGGAAGCTGAACTGCAGACTTAAGCAGAGGACATGTCTGTAACCTCAGCACTAGCAGGCTGAAGCAGGAGGATCAGGAGGTCAAAGGCAGCTTGGAAATCAGAAAGAGCTGGTGTCATGGCACACAGCTGAAACCCGTACTCTGAGGCTGAGCCAAGAGGATGGAAAGTCTGAGCCCAGCCTGAGCAACTTAGCAAGACCCTGTCTCAAAGTTTAGTATTTTAAAAGGGCTATGGAGAGCTGGATGCGGTACCACACACCTGTAATCCCAACACTCCGGGAGGCTGAAGCAGCAGGACAAGTTCAGCGTCCCTAGCAATTTAGCAAACAAAAGGGCCAGGGCCCTGGGTTCAATCTCCAGTACCGCCATAAATAAGTAAAATTATGCCTAATTTCAGCTGCTGTTAGTTTATTATAACACAGGTTTGAACTTTAGCTCAAGTGCTCAATTACTTGCTGGAAGCTTTGCAGGTGGATGAGTTCCCTATGACCCAATTCTGAATTTGTCTATGAAAAGTATCTTTAATAAAGCTAGGCAGGCTTGGGGAACAAGTGCTACTAAATTTGTACCAACAGATCATTTTTGATTGCACAAATGGACAAAGACTCCAAAAGTATCTAACAAAGTATTTGGTTTTAACATTAAGCTATTGAATGTACCTTACTGGAAATTATTTTCAACATTTTCCATGAAAAAAAAAAAAGACAGCCATAGTTGATAACGGGTCATTTTTTCACTGCAGTATTAGGGACTAAACCTAGGGCCTTTGCATTGAGCTACTCCTCCAATCCTTTAAATTTGAGATGAGGTTGGGCTCACTAAAATGCTCAGGCTGGGTGAGAGCTGCATTCTCCTGCCTCAGCCTCCTAGCGTGCCTGGATGCCAGGCATGTGAACCTGGGCAAGTTATTTATTCATCTGAAGCAGTGTCAGCTCTACACAGCAGACAAAGGCGCAGTCTTTCCTTGCTTCTTTGAGGGTAGTCTACAATCAAAGACAAATGACCTGTTATTAACTGTGGACGTGTCTATTCTTAAATTCTATTCTCTTTCCCATGCTCTCATGCGTTTGCGGGGAGGGGAGGGGAGGCTCTCACTATGTAGCCCAGGCTGGCCCCAAACTCATAGTGACCCTCCTGCCTCAGCTTCCAGAGGGCTGGGATTACAGGTGCACAGCTCGTCAGAATTTAAATCGCTGCACCTGGGTTTAAGTCCTCCCCTAACTTGTTTCCTTAACCCCAAAATTCAAGGGGATTCATCCTACACCACCCATTAGCAACATCTACATCACTACCACTTTCTGATGAATCATGGGTGGGAAGCGTCCTCTAGGACCAGCTAGCTGGCCCACAATATGCAGCAGGGCCTCACAGCACCTTAGCCAAGAGCACAGTATCATGCACGTGATCAAGGCAGTGTCATGTCTGGGACCTGAGACCACAGGACAGTGTTCTGCCTTTGCTTATGTATTTTTATATAAAAACACTTGTGGACGGGGCCGGGGATATAGCTCAGTGGCACAAGTGCCTGCCTGGCCAGTACAAGGTCCTGAGTTCAATTCCCAGTACCAAAAAAAAAAAAAAAAAATAGAATAAAAACACTTGTGGAGAAAGAAATGGTATTATAAAGCATCCACACCGCACTATGACTGTACCTTCATCTTTCTTTTCTAAATTTCTTTTTTTGTGTGTGCGTGTTTTTGAGACAGGGTCTCGCTATGCAGTTCAGGCTGGCCTTGAGCTCACTCTGTAGCCCAGGCTGGTCTCGAACTCGCAATGATCCTCCTGCCTCAGCCTCCCAAGTGCTAGGATTACAGGCATGCACCACCACGCCTGGCTATTCATCTTTGAATAAAGAAATAGACACTAAACTTCTCAGAGTGAGTCAAACTCTGAAAGACAGAAAGAGAGAAGAGAGGGGCTGGGGACTTAGCTCAGCGGCAAAAGCACCTGCCTGGCAAGTGCAAGGCCGTGAGTTCGGTTCCCGGTACCGGAGAAAAACCCAAAAAAACAACAACAAAAAAAAAAAAAAACAAAAGAAAGAGAGAAGAGAAAAGAAAAGAAAAAGAAGGGGAAAGAAAGGGCAAGGAACAAAACAAAAAACAATGCTGAGATTCCATCTCACTCCAGAAAGAATGGTTGTTATCAAAAAATCAACCAGTAACAAAAGATGGGGAGGCTGTGGGGGAAAAGGAACCTTTCTCCACTGTTGGTGGGAGTGCAGACTGCTGCAACCACCGTGGAGATTCTTAAATTTAAAAAAAAAAAACAACACTAAAACTCGCCAGGTGTGGTAGTGCATGCTTGTAATCCCTGTGCTCCAGAAGCCGGATCACTGAGTTTGAGGCAAGCCTAGGCTACACAGTGAGACCTTGTCTCAAGGAGAAAAAAAAAAAGAGAAAGAAAAAGCAGGGGAGCAGGGATACAGCTAAGTGCAAGGAGGTCCTCAGTTCTATTCCCAGTACCCCCCTACAAAAACTAAAAAGAATCAAGGTATATCATGTACAGGCATAAATTCCCTACAACAAACGTGATCATTATGTGCACTTACAATGTACCAATAAACATTTTTTTAAAAAGAGGAAAAGAAGCTAGGAGACGGGCTGGGGATATAGCTTAGTGGTACAAGTGCCTGCCCGGCAAGCGCAAGGTCCTGAGTTTGATCCCCAGTACCGCAAAAAAAAAAAAAAAAAGAAAGCTAGGAGACTAGGAACAGAACAGATCTGTCAGGGCCTTCTAAGCCCATGAGTTACCTTAAAGCAGCAAGGATACACTGATCACAAGTATCACAATCAGATTGAACTATTAAAATACTGAACTGGGTTCCAGAAGCTAGGGGGTAGAGCTCAACAGCAGACTGCTTGCCCAGCATGTGCACGGGCCTGTTCAATTCCCAGCACCACAGTGAACAAACAAACAGGCTTCTACTACATGACCTGCGTTGGCCAGTGCACTACATCAAAGTAGTCACAAGTTTCTAGAGCCACAGTAACTGTAGCTACCGCAACAGTAAGTTGCAGATCTAAGTAGTAATAAAAAGCACAAAGGTTCAGAACTAGAGGACTCTGAAATCCCAGCTCTGTCTCTTCCTAGTTCTGATTCGTCAACTCATCTGCTTGAGGTGCCTAGAGGAGTAAAGCACCCTTCTGGGAGTGCGTGGGCAGGTCACAAGGGTGTGCCTTGGGGACTGGATCTGTGCCCTCCTCTCTGTGGCTCTAACCCTGCTCTGCTTCCCAGATGCCAGCGAGAGCAGCTTCTCTCTCACACACGGTTCCCCGCCCTGTGCCTGCCTAGACCCACACCCTCTCCTCCTCTCAGCTACAGGCGGCAGCTGTTTTGTCTGCGACCTGCTCCCTCCGGGCC